TAATAGTAAATTTATACTTTATGTAAAAATTTCAAATAAATATTCAATAAAGATAGAGACATGGCCTCATCATTAATATTAAAATATATATATATATATATATATATATATATATATAACAATTTAATCAATATATATCAATTATTTTTAATAGATATATATCAATTAAATGTTATAAATTAATATAAATTTGCTTAAAAATTTTACTAATAACTGATGAGGTTATTTGTATAATCTCTTTGAAAACCCAACTAATTATAAATTTTGTTATATTATAAATAAAATAAAAAGGTAGTTTGTAATAAAATGTTTATAAATTGAAATGATAAACTTACATATTATTTTTTTATAAGTAATTATTATATAATAAACTTTATTAAACTATGTATTTACCATATTATTTCAAAATGAAGCATCCTTTTTTTGCATATAGTGCAAGCTAAAATTGTTATAATACATGCCAAATTGTAAATAATGTGCATAATTTCTGAACTATATAATATTTATATAATTATTACATTTGTCTAGTAATGATAAAAAATTGTTTTTTATTGAACTTTCATTTGTAGATCTATTGACCAAAAATTAGTAAAAAGCAAAATGCAGAAAAAAGTACAAAACCTACTAGAAAGGAATACTTTGACTCTTAATAAAAAAGAAAGAGTAGCAAAAGTTACCTTTTGCTAAAAAAAAAGATACAAATAGGAAAGTTTAGAGGTAGCATAGATTAGAAAAATTAAAAATTTCAACAAAAACAAAAGTTTTGTAGAAATTTTAGAAAATCTCTGTAACCCTATTGCAAAAATCAATTTGGGTTATATAAAAAGTACAGCAAATAAATAAAGTAAACAAACAATATATATATAGCAAAATAGTCTGCTAGAATAAATATATAACATAGAAACAACTAAACTAAACAAGCTAATAGCAGTGTTAATATTAAGAGTTTTATATATTTTTGACTATAACTTTTAATGTACTGAACCAAATTGGATAAAACAACCACCATTGCATTTAGCTTACTTAGACGATTCTAATAAGCACAAGATTATATAATTTTAATTATAAGATCATAGGATTATAAGATTGAGATGATTTAGATAAAAGCATTAATTCTAATACATGTAACTTGATTCTGATTGACTTATATTACTATGCTAAAAATCTAACAAATCTAATATTTTTAACAAATCTATTAGATCTAACATATCTAACATATTTAACAGATATTACATATTTATTATATCTATTATTTCTATTATATCTTTTATATCTATTATATATATTATATCCATTATATCTATTAGTTCTTATATATCTTAATATTACTATAAATAGTATTTATTAGTAATAGAGTAGTCTTTATTGTAATAATTTATATATGTATATTTAGAACCTATCTTAAATAACAAAAATAATGAAATATTAATATAGCAAACAATTAAATAAATACAATAACTGATTTAATGCTGTTTTGATTTTTTTGTTAAAATTTATTAAATTTTTTTTATTTTTTAAAGTTTTTATATAAAAATATTTTGCTTAAATTTCTTATTTAAATACTTTAATAAATTAAAACTTATTTCTATTGCTATACTGTTATTACCATTAACTAATAAAATACTGTATAAGATGTAAATAGAGTAGTTTTAACTTGGTCATATAAATTAACTATCTTCATATAGAGGATGTCCAAAGTGGAGGCAACTCATAGTTAATAATTTTTTCGATTAACTTTTGGGTTAGGTCTTCTATATTATGGATAGGTTTGGCTTTAGGTAGGTATATATGCAAAATTGTCTTCCTGACATTTTTGGAGATCATTTAAAGCTATGTGCAGTCATGTAATCTGCCAAACAATAGTGCATGTTGATGGTCAAACACTATATGAAGGGTCATCTAAAGTAAAGGCAGTCATGTAATCAACAGCCAATCAAATTAAAGAATTTTAATAATCACTAGTAAAGCAAACAAAAAATAAAAAACAAAAAACCTGAAAAATACAAAAAATAGCAGTCTAAATCTGCCTTAAGTAGTTTAAACAAAAATGTCAGAAAGACAATTTTGCATATATATACCTACCTAAAGCCAAACCTAACTATAATATAGAAGACCCTAACCCAAAAGTTAATCAAAAAAATTATTAAATATAAATTGTCTCTGCTTTAGACATCCTCTATATGAAGATAGTTAAATTATGTGACCAAGTAAAACTACTCTATTTACATCTTATATAGTATTTTATTAGTGCATGATAATAACAGCATAGCAATAGAAATAAGTTTTAATTTATTAAAGTATTCAAATAAGAAATTTAAGCAAAATATTTTTATATAAAAACTTTAAAAAATAAAAAATTTAAAAAAAATTTAATAAATTTTAACAAAAAAATCAAAATAGTATTAAATCAGCTACTGTATTTATTTATTTATTTGTTACATTAACATTTCATTATTTTTGCTATTTAAGTAGATTCTAAACATACATTTAATTTTTGAACAAATGCATTAGTTTGTTCTGAATTACCTTTTTCCTCAATTCTTCAATATACATTATGCACTCTTTCAATTAACTCATTTATAACAAGACATTTATTTTCTACAGTCTTTTCAGCTTCAATTTTTTTAAATTTTTTTTATTTTTTAACTTCTATGAAGTATATATATCAAATCTAGCATCTCTAAATATCTGTTAAAATTTTTTTCATGCATCAGCTGTCAGCAATTTTACATCACTATATTTGTGCTTATGAAAGATATATTGGCAAAGTAATAAATATCAACTAAAAAAAAATATTTACAACTAAGCAATGTAAGGCCTGGTGCAATCTTTTCTTTCTTAATTCTTTCTTTAACAGCACAAAACTCATTTGTTTTGCAAATAATTGTTAAATAAAAAATGTGAATTGATGAATTTCTTGAAGAATGTTATAATCAATATCAGCTACTGAAATTTTCATAGTATGAAAATTAAAAACAACATGCTCTGAATCTGAATGTTTTTTTAAGTTAATTTCAACAATTTTATAAGCTGCACCTAAAATATAAGTAAAGTTAACAGATTAATATTTTTAAATTAATTTACTACTAAACTTCGAATAAAGGTTACTTATATTCATCTGATCAAATTTAATTAATATTTTTTATTTTAATTCTATATAACTATAGAATTAAAATAAAAAAATTAATTGAATTTGATCAGATAAATGCTAACCAACCTTTATTTAAAATATACTTAAATTACAAGAATTTATTTAATTTTGTATGTACTGCTATATTATAATTAATAAAATATGCTATCAATGTTTAGTTCTTAACTTAAAACTAAAAAAAAGTATATTATACCAACTAAGCTATATTGTCTAGAAGTAATACACTTTAATTCATTATGATATAATTCAAATAGATTTGTTGTAGTTATTTGTAAGAGAAGTGGTAAAGTTATTGGGCCCAAAAAGCCCACTGATAAGTATTACATAAATAATATCATTCAATATATTTTTTAATTGTTGATATCATATACTCATTAATTGCTGATAAATAAGACTTTCACACTCTGTTTTAGTCTTCGTATTCATTATCTAAATCTTTTTTTTTCAAATTGTTGGTTCATAAATTTTGCCTATCCAACTTCTCATTATATGCACAACACAAAAAATTATATGACAACCTGGTTCACCATTTTGAAAACCTGAAAATGCCATATTTATACTATTTTCTTTTATATTACTTTGATTTGTGAGAAAATACTTTGGTTTCTATTGGTATCCAAACTGTCGAACTAACTTCAAAGCCTCTCCAACTATGTTACCATTTTCATTACTTACAAAAAAATGTGCACCAGTTTCCTAATAACTATACTTATTATGAATATACAAAGTAAATAACCTATAATCATACCAATTCGTTTGGTGAATAGAGTCAATCAAAGTTAACTATTCATATTTTTTGAGATTGTTAATATGATTAGGATGTGCAAAAACTAAGCCCTAAGCAAACTTTGTTGGTACTTTAAAATATTCAATATAATATCCTTGTTGTTTAAGGAATAAAATTGTTTTACTAAGATCCAATTCAAACTTTGGATTATCTATAAGATGTGTCTCAAGAGGACCACAAACCTTGTATTTAATGTTCGTAACTTCTATACATTGTAATTTCTTTACACTTGTGCCTAAATCTAACTTCTTAGTAGCCAACTCCTTTACTACATTTATTATTTCTGGTAGTTAATAGTTTTTAAGTGCTTCTTCTTTAACTAACAACTGAATAACTTAAGAATGCTTAAGTTTGTCACTATCTTCCAATGTATATATATGGTTAGGTAAGTTTGTATAATGTTCAACTCTAATTTTCTTTTCTAAAACATATCATGACACCTTTTTTTTTTTTTTTTTTTTTTATTTATAATATCAAGTAGGAAAAATTGATAATACATGAGCATGTCAATCAGACATA